TCATGCCACAAGCTCCATGGAGTCTATTCATGCCACAACTGTCGAGCTTTTCATGCCACAAGCTCCATGGAGTCATGTTCATGCCACAACTGTAAGGCTTATCATGCCACAAGCTCCATGGAGTCATGTTCATGCCACAACTGTCGAGCTTTTCATGCCACAAGCTCCATGAGGTCCCTTTTATACTGTAAAGGTCCATAAATTTAAACATAATAAGAATTTCGAAGAATTAATATGGTGGACTCGTGGCGCAAAATTCCAGGATTCTAATAAATTTTTTGTCAATGACAAGAATAACGAAAATTTGTGCGGAAAATTGCGCGCCTGTTACAAAATATTAACAACTTAATGTTCATGAAATGGTGTGTCGGTAGTTTATTATTCGTTAATACGTCTTAACTAATTATTATCGTGAGGTTTACATTCATATTATTCTTATAATAAAAAGGTTCCTGGCCTGCGTCAGTTTTGTCAATGATAATTTTAATAACAGTTTTGGTAATAATAATAATATTAATTTTGCTTTATTTAACTGTAATAAAAGTGATTTTATACAATATATGGTAGAATTAAAATATAATTCTAATTTTGCGCACATTTCTGGAGCTATAGATAGTTTCGCACGCATTAAATGACGACCAATGCGGTGGTGTTAAAATAAACCTACTTCATCTGTGCATATCTAATCTACAAAAGCTTAAATCTTTAATCCTCGTCGCATACGCCGACCTCGGAGTCCGTCGCACAGAGTCTGCCAAAACTGTCGGTCTTAATTTAAAGTTTTCCGCGAGAAAATCAGAATCTGCGCGTCTTGGAGGCGTCGCTAATAATTGACTTCGCATGTCTGCGTGCAGGCAAACTTTTAGGTGACGTAGGCTGAGGTATTTGCCTGCGTGTGCTGGGCGTATAGGGGACATTTGCCGGCGTATAATGAATATAACTAATGAATTGCAATAATTAAGTATCACGATTAAGTGTTAAAGTGAACGGTTGTAATAATCAATACTCAATACTCATGGTAAGTGACGAAAGATTCCTGATATACGAAGTTGCCGCTATACGTAGGGCTCCTCGTGGATACCAAGTTGATCATTTTATAGATATAAACATCTTATTCCTCCATCGCTTCTTTGTAGTATTTGTTGCACGACTTTTGCGACTGCAGCACGACATGCACGATCAGCACGACTTGCACTACCAACACGACCTGCAATCCTAGCACGACCAGCACGACAGGCAGCAGGCACGACCTGCACGAACTGCAATCCTAGCACGACCAGCACGACTAGCACGACCAGCACGACCAGCACGACCAGCACGACCAGCACGACCAGCACGACCAGCACGACCTATACGACCAGCAAGACCTGCACGACCTATACGACCAGCACGACCAGCACGACCAACCAGCACGACAAGCACGACAGTCTTATTCTGCTGCCGCGCCGCCCAAGACAAAGTTCAGTTCTATGTAAATTCGCCGTCTGGAGCGGCCAAGTTACGGCTTTGTTTCAATGTAATTTATTCGCGCCATTGCTTGTAGACGCGAACTTCTTTGGCCGATACAGCGTGCGAATGTCCGGGAACTGCTCTCGATGTCCTTGCCTGACTCGGGGCAAATATAGAGCTTCTTTTATATACTATTTTTGTATTATCTCTGATCTATGTATACTTATACTCCTTATCCATTCACTTATTCACGACAAAATCTATGTCTCAATAAGATAACAACAGAACTCTGCACCAATGTATCAAGATTCGTACTATATTTGAATGAGTCGTGCGTCATTCTATTGCAAATTTTGCAGAAATTTTCCGCCTTTTTAATATCTTGCACACATAAAGCCGCATATTTTTATGATGCTTCTTAAAATAGCGTCATTATATATTCTCGTACATTTTTTATATATGTTACGACACTGCACGTGACCAACGTGCTATGTATTCCGACGCCTTCTAACTTCTCAAACTCACCTAATTTGCAACAGGCTTGTTTCTCTTCTTTTACTGCGAGCCGAAGTAAGTTCAATTCTGGCCGAACAAGTCTACACTTTTACTGACGGACTCGACTCTTGTGTGGAAGCTGTTCATTGGGAATGCCATGTAAATAAATACATGTCAAAGTAAAATGAAAAGATACCACTAATCTTGTTAACGAGGTCTGGCGTTTATTACTTCTAACTTCTCAGTTATTTATACATTTTTACATTTTAAACTAAATGATGATAAATGTGCAATTTTGTTTATGTAATTCCGTTTTAAAATCATTTGCATCCAAAAAATTGTAAAAGCTATTGATACATTAATTTTGCGGTTATCAAGTCACGCCCAGTGCAGTAAAATTCAGCTTCCTTCACTTCCCATCATCATTTGTCAGCTTTTTTCTTCTGATTTTCATCTCCAGTTATTTGTTTTTTCATCTTCACTTATTTGATGGGACTTTTTTAGCGCATTTGCTCATTTATGGAAAAAATGCACTATTGTGCTCGCCATGTCCGTCCGTCCGTCTGTCTGTCCGTCTGTCCGTCCGTCTGTCCGTGACCTCAAGTTTTCGTCGATGAGAAAATACGCTCTCTGTCACTCACTGTAGTGAGTACTGATTTGTATTTTTTGTTGAATTTTCGAAGCGCGGGCAGCGCTGGGAGTGCATTGAGCTGCCTTTACGCACGGCGTTTCTTGCCCAAGACAAAATGCGTGCAATATTTTCCGGGTCTTGACGATCGAGTGACGCCATTCGTGCGCCATGTCACGGACAAACGTAAGCATTTTCTCTAATGATTATAATCATCGTGGGTAGGAATAACATTGTAGCCAACTAGCTCGTTAAATAGTCGTGCAATGCACAGCGTTATCTTTTTACGTTAGTCGGCTCTTCATTTATCTATGAAGAAACAGTCACTAGCGTACACATCAATAAGAATAATCATAATAAAACTACTTAAACTAAACGGTAACAGCATTTGTCGCGTACATCAATAATAACGATACAATTATTTGGACTTATTAAACTTCCTAAATCTCAAGCACAATTCCAGAAAAGCTCTCTGCGAAGCCTATTTGTTGAGAAATATCAAGCTCCATTCAAGCGTTCGTCGTTGACAAAGTCGTTAAGTCCAAAACACGCTTGGTTCGTAGTGTTTAAATCAAGCCCCGAAGGGAGGACGATGCACTGGAATTGCCACAGAATCTCTTAAAGGTTGCAATATTTCTGGCTTTTGGGATTCAGGGATCCCGAACAAATGCCTTTGTTTATGCGTCGGCCACTGAGAAGTCCACAGATCCTGAATATTTAGGGAGAGACGGCGCGGACCACGTCGCTGTGACGGCCTGACGAGGCTGATGTGTGATGACGTGTTATCTTGTGACATGTGATGACGTGTTATCTTGTGACGTGTGATGACGTGTTATCTTGTGACGTGTGATGATGTGTTATCATGTGTCGTGTGATGACGTTATTTTTGCCAGCAATACTTCCTCATCATTGTGCTAGCATTGCCACCATTGTAGCAGCATCAGAGTTCTCAGATTCAATCTTTATTATTTTATTTTTGGTACATGTTCTGAAACGCATAGCGCTTGCGCATCTTCTTCAGCTCTCGCCTTTGGTTGTATTATGCCAGACTTTTTCCTTGGTCGCGCAATCGAAGTTTTTCATAATCCTTTACCCGTAGTTGTCAGATTCCAATAATTGGGACCATTTTTGGCATGGTCCTGAAAAGGCACCAAAGCATTTGTGATACTGGGTCTTTGAAAAATGCATTAGTGTCAAGGATACCGCATAATACGTTTGGAGATACCGGAAGAATATAATGGTTATGAAGCATGCTGGAAGCATTTTATGCTGCTTGTCATGCTGGAACTTGCTCTGAACCTGATGTCTTTTCGCACTGCCTTGGTAGTCGCGTAGTTTAATTCAAACAATAGCTACAAAAACGTTCAAAACAATATCCAATGGCCCAAACCAACCCAATTCGGCTGCTAATGCTTCTATTGTGTTATCAATTCTAAATCATTCACGTCATTACTAACGATTATTTTAAAGTATTCTCTGCGAGACTCCATGTTTGGTCACTTGGTCAGTGACTGGACAGAAAGTACAGTTTATATGTTATTTATGTCATAATTTAAATTCATATGAATGTTTCTATGTGGAAGCTATATTATTCAGGTATTATGCTATTTAATCGAAAGATGTACTTCCAGCCGCAGTATAACTGTATAAATTGTCCACGTGAAGAATACTAAGAACAGACTTAAGTCAAACATAATTTTCTGAACGTCAGCTTAACCTGAATCTCGTTAATAATTTTTAGTCGGCTTGTATCATTTCTTGCCACCTGAGAACGTAACCAGAAGCAGCTTAACCTTTCTTCAATATTATTTAATCGTCGTTTTCATTGCAAAACATTTGTACTTTCGACAATTCATGGTGCGCGTTTAGTTTCTTTTATGCGCTACCAAAGTCCATCGCGTCTATACAGAGACAAAACTTGTCGTCTGCGTGTCTTTGACCGCCACGACAAATGACAAAAGTCCTAACAAATTATGGCAAAAAATGTTCCTTGGTTGAGAGAAGTTCAGCGAACCTCGTTGTCCTATTTTTGGCTTAAAACTCAAAATTACAATTTATTTACCTGAGTCGGGAACTTTGACCAGCAAACAGCTATACTGAACTGTACTGATATACTGAATTAATCTCCTGATAAGCTTCGATCACGACGGTTGCTGCGAAATTATGACCCGGGAAAACTGTTAACTGCCGAATCCATTTACTGTATAAGACCGTTTGGTACTCCATTTGCGGACTTTGAAATATCGCAATGGTAATTTTAATAAAATCACTATTTTTTACATTTCTTGAAAAACACCATTTTCATTTCGTAATTTCATGCATTAACTTGAAAATCATTCGTTCGATGTTATTATTTAATTCATGTGTTTTGATCGGATTGCCTGAGAAGCTTTTGCTTAAACTATGCACTGTGCTTGTGTCTGTGCAGTGGAGTGCCCAGAGCTGTGCAGCGGGCAGGGGGAGTACGTAGAAGGAAGGTGCGTGTGTCTGCCAGGCTGGAAGGGGCCGGAGTGCAACCTGCGCTACGACGAGTGCGAGGTGCCGGACTGTAGCGGCAACGGCCACTGCGTCGACGGCCGCTGCAGCTGCGCTATGGGCTTCAAGGGCGAGTTCTGTCAGGAGGGTGAGTTTAAGTTTGGTGTGTCACTTTTAAAAAGTGCTTAACTTTGCAAATAGCTTATGTATGTGAACGTGTTACTACTCTGTTCAATTTACTGCATTAAATTCAAAACCAGCAAGCACGCACGTTATCTATGAAAATGCCTAATTTATCTAACATGTTTCCATATCACCTACGGACCTCGTAACCTGAGTAAATATCCATCCATATAAAATTTATTTACCCTACACTAACTGCTTAATTGTGCATTAAATTCATCGCAGTCACCCTTAAGTACGACTAACCCGCTAACGTGTGTAGTGGAGTGCCCGCATCCTACGTGCTCGGGTCACGGGTGGTGCGTGAACGGCACGTGCATCTGCCAGAAAGGCTGGCGTGACACTGACTGTGCCAAGATGGACGACGCGGCGCTGCAGTGTCTGCCTGACTGTTCCATGCATGGCAACTTCGACCTCGAGAGTCAGGAGTGCGTCTGTGAACCTCAGTGGACGGGGTCAGAGTGCGACAAGAGTGAGTCAACAATTTAACTTCAGTTATGACAATTTACTCATAAGTTTCTTGAATCATTTAAAAGCCGAGCAAATAAATTCTATTGATTAGAAAAAAAAAACATTTAATATTTTTGGATTTGAAGTTCTTGTACTCACGACAAAAGGGACTTACTAAATAAAGGATTTATTACCTGCCATATTATAACAATAATCAAATTATCGATTAAATCTTTGGTCATGTATATTCATATTTATACTGAAAAATTATATAATTGTTGATTTAACGCGCAAAAATCGCACAAGCACTATAAATGGGCATGAAGGATATGAGGCATCTCCTACAGACGCCCTCACTCACTAATGTTACGCCCTCACTAATCTCCTACAGACATGTTACGCCCTCACTAATCTCCTGCGGACATGTTACGCCTTTACTAATCTCCTGCAGACATGTTACGCCTTCACTAATCTCCTGCAGACATGTTACGCCTTCACTAATCTCCTGCAGACATGTTACGCCTTCACTAATCCCCTGCAGACATGTTACGCCATAAATAACGTGCCTGAAAATTAGGTGTCACCAATAGGTGTGCATGTGACGAACATGCGCTAACACGTTTATGCTGTGTTCATGAATGCTTCGATCTTGCTTCGACTTAAATTTTTAATTTACGTGATCAATAAACATACTTATTTGTTCTATACCTTACCTATATGTCAGAATATGTAGTATGTTTCTGATGGGTAATGTTCAGAGGTAATGCTCAGATACTAACTCAGGAGTGCATGATTCGTGAACAGGTCTGAGTTTGTTTGGTCATGACATAAATTTACTTCAGACCATAACCATTCCTAGACCTTAAGATTATCAGATTCAGAGACCCTGTGATTTAATGTTTTCATAGACCCTAAGATCGGAAAGACGTCACAGATACTCAGTCCAGCCCAGGTTATAAGTTCATCCCGTCACGGTTCCTACTGCCATCGCCGTGTCAGAATGAAAGATCATGTGGGCCCTCAGACCATCCGACCCTCAGACCATCCGACCCTCAGGCCATCCGACCCTCAAACCATCCGACCCTCAGACCATCCGACCCTCAGACCATCCAACCCTCAGACCATCCAACCCTCAGACCATCCAACCCTCAGACCATCCGACCCTCAGACCATCCGACCCTCAGACCATCCGACCCTCAGACCATCCGACCCTCAGACCATCCGACCCTCAAACCATCTGACCCTCAGACCATCCGACCCTTAGACCTTCCAACCCTCAGACCATCCCTATTGCTCCCTCAGAAGTGTGTGGTCTGGACTGCGGTCTGCACGGGCGCTGTGAAGGGTCGCAGTGTCTCTGCAGCGACGGATGGACGGGCGACAAGTGCGACCTGCGCACTTGCGACGCCAGGTCAGTTGACCTACTACATGTACGACAACTGCGACATAGGATGAGTTGACTAAGCTTATGTACGACAAATGCGACGTAGGGTGAGTTGACCCAGCTTATGTACGACAACTGCGACGTAGGGTGAGTTGATTAAGCTTATGTACGACTACTGCGACGTAGGGTGAGTTGATTAAGCTTATGAACGACAACTGCGACGTAGGGTGAGTTGACTAAGCTTATGTACGACAAATGCGACGTAGGGTGAGTTGACCCAGCTTATGTACGACAACTGAGACGTAGGGTGAGTTGATTAAGCTTATGTACGACAACTGCGACGTAGGGTGAGTTGATTAAGCTTATGTATGACAACTGCGACGTAGGATGAGTTGACTAAGCTTATGTACGACAATGAACCAGCTTATGTACGACAACTGCGACGTAGGGTGAGTTGATTAAGCTTATGTATGACAACTGCGACGTAGGATGAGTTGACTAAGCTTATGTGCGACAACTGCGACGTAGGGTGAGTTGACGCACCTTATGTACGACAACTGCGACGTAGGGTAAGTTGACCCACCTCATGTACGACAACTGCGACGTAGGGTGAGTTGACCCACCTCATGTACGACAACTGCGACGTAGGGTGAGTGGACCCACCTTATGTAACGAAATATCTAGCCCTGTCAGTCAAAGCTATCTCCATAGATGGCTGGGTATCATGGCGGTCAAGTCACACAATGAGCATCGAGCGGAGTGTGATATATCTTCTGTAACGGGCAACAAAAGGACTCAGTTTCATGCGTAACGCAGTAAACATTACTTAACAGTGGCTCATAAGTTACTTTGAGTGAATACATGTGAGAAACCGTCTTTGTGTAGCCCTTTAATGATTTAAATTAAATAAGACCCTTGACTCACATTGACGAGTTCGTACTCTGGATAAGTTTTCAATATTATATTCTATTATTAAGTATTCTATTCTATTAAGCATTCTATTCTATATTCAATATTCTATTAAGTATTCAATATTATATTCTCAGTAAAAAATGAATGGTTCATATTGTCCAAATAGACTCACTTCTGCCTATTGCACCATCAGCGAACGAACGTAGATTTATGTGCCCCATTGCCGAGGCCAAAATGTGTCAGGGTAACCCGCACAAAAGCAAAACGTGCTTCGCTGTTAGAACAAAGACTCATTCATTCCACTGAGTGTATGTATAGATAAAAACAACACCAATACGCATATCTACAGCATGTGCTGACGATGGATCATAGATTACGAAGAAAAATACGCTTTCACCCAACGTATGCTCATAAATGTGATACGCGCCCACGCACAGATGTGAAGAGCACGGCCAGTGCAAGAACGGGACGTGCGTGTGCATGACGGGCTGGAACGGGCGACACTGCACGTTGTCGGGCTGCCCGTCCGCATGCTCCGGCCACGGCACGTGTGTCCTCAAGGATGAGGAGTGGCACTGCGTGTGCCATCAGCTCTACGAGGGTCTCGACTGTGCCACGAGACTTGAGAGCGAGTGTCAGGACGGTCAGGACAACGATCAAGGTACGTGACTGCGTGCTTATCTTTAAGCTAACGTGTACAAAAATTCTCATGTCTAGGTTATCGTGTCTATGGGCTCATGTCTGTAATTTGATGTCTCAAAATCATGTCTGGGTACAAAATTCAAAAATTCATTTCAAGACAGCTATGTCTAAGGAATAATTTCTTTGTAATCATTCATATCTACACTCATTTTTGCCTTGAGTTTATGTAATGATTCATAAAACTGCTAAGCAAGGAGGTTTGTTACACTTCATTCGATGCAAAATTGCTTGCTTCTCTTTAGGCATCTGACGTTCAAACAGTTTTGATTACGGGTTGAATTCGTTTAAACAAAGTTCATTTAACGTTTATTAATGCCTTTATTCAACACGTGGAAATTAATGTCTTTAGAGCGCATGCAAATGAACGTTGTGTGCTCCGCCTGTAGACGGTCTAACGGACTGCGAGGACTCCGAGTGTTGCACCGTCTCCCCCTGCGACCGCTCGAACCACTGCTACAGCTCCCACGACCCCATCGACATCCTCCTGAGGAAGCAGCCTCCTGCTGTCACCGCATCCTTCTTCCAGAAGATGAGGTTCATCGTCGAGGAAGGATCCCTGCAGACCTACGCAAAGCAGGCTGCCTTCAACCAGAGGTGTGATATTACATAATATTTTAATATTTAGGTGTGATGTTACATAATATTTTAATATTTAGGTGTGATATTACGTAATATTTTAATGTTTCGCAACACTCACAAGTCGAACGGTGGAGGACTGGTGAAAACGTTCATTTTTTTCTTTCCAACTGCTTGCCTAGGTTCTCAATGAATGCCGAAATTTAATAGTCGCCTCGCCGGAAAAAATTTCTGCTCAATTACGAGCATGGTTATCGTAACAATAATTAGTATCTGTCAGAATTACTCAATTATGATGATTATTCAACACCTCTCTCCTGTTTTAACTTGAATAATTTATCTGGTACGGTAATTATGTCGCCACCGTAAAAACAAAGAAGACGCGAGAAACAAAATCCGCATAATTGTGTGCCCAACCATGATATCATCGTAGTTTGGGATCACTAATAGCTTATCCCATCTTGATTCTTCGTTATGCATCTCATTATCATCATCATTTTCATCACAATAATTTGATGGTGAAATACAGTGAGACATGTCAACGCCTGTCGACATCCTGTGTTTGGGTGGCTGCGACTCTGATCAGCTCCCTGCTACTTCACGCGCCCTCAGCTCGTCTGCTTAACAATTGTTATCTGATTAACACATCAAGATAACGTCGTCGAGGACGGACCTGATAATTGACTCATTAATAAGACTATAATTGAAGCCGCCCGAGAGATAGAGGTCTGTTCGGAACGCCGCGTTTCTATTCGGAATTTCGTTGATGTCGTTCAAATTTAATTAAAGTTCAAATATTATATGGAAACCGCACATAAACGGCATCGTGGACGAATAAACGGCATTGTAAGTGGTTTTCCTTAATTAAAGCTCACCTAGTCAACAAATTGTTTTACGAATATTCATAAGATTTTTTCATTCTAACGACGCGAAATAATAATATTATGACAGACAGTTTTCCTCATAGATTGAATAAGCCTTTAATTAGCGAATAAGTCGAGCGCGTCCGTGATATTGATACCAATTATGCGGTCGCCGTCGTTACAGAATCAATAGCCTGAGCCAATAAACTGAGGGAAGCCTCAATAATATATTTATTGTGATGCGCCAGGCAGCGTCTCGACTTATTTCAACTTGTTTTTCCATCAAGACAATGAATGTCATGACGACTGCAGGGAACACAATAATAATTCCCGCAAAACGACAATTCAACGAACAATTTTGTGCTGAATAAGGCCAACCCGCAAGTGTATAGGCTGTAAATTATACGCCTATTAGCGGCATTTTATGCATTTTGTTTTGAATAATAAACCATTTAAGGTTTAAGATAAAGGACTTAAAATACAAGTCGAGATGGAATTTTTTGAATGACTAATTGTTACGAATAATTTCTTTGTATTGAACGTGCCTAATTTCACGAATAATGAAAAATGCATAAATTATTACTCATATTGGACAATAAATCGTCATGTATATTCATTTTTAATTACGCGAATAATTACTTTTTCGATGTTCCTCCAATATTATTGTGCTCAGAAAGGCGAAAAATTATTTCTATTTAATTTGTATAGAAGCTGCTCGAGAATTTACAACCGTGATAACATATACGTGAAATGAAAAACCTTTCACCACGAGCACATTGTTCAAAAAAATTATTTTGCGTAGGAGGTAATTTTCCCATTTCTGTGCAAAGTCAAAAAACGTATTTTGGACGAATGCATTTCCTCTAAGCGCATTCATAAAGAAGCGCTCCTGCTCTTACTTTGGTATCGCGTGTCGATATTTGGGTAATGGCAAAGACCAACTTATAGGCTATTGCATTTTCAACGCGTTATTATTGTGAAGGGATGTTTGGAATTCTTGGAGAGGCAACGAGACAGCCACAAGTTGGGCAAAGTTAGGCGGCTATCTGGGCCCGACAAGTTCATAGAAATTCCCCGTGATACGGCACCAGGAATATATTAATTCGGGCCATCTTGCTGAAATTTGATAGCTTTGAAGCTGCAGCCTCGAACAGCGTCGATGACAGCCTTTGGTTGCTGATCTTAACATCATACTGGTGCAGGCGATGATATTACAATGCATGTTTATTGCCTGTCACATGTAAGGAGTAAATAACAACGTACTGGTACAGGCTATGATATTACAATGCGCGTTTATAGCATATTAAATTTCAGGGGTAAACATACATTTCCATCAATTGGCCAATGTCCTAAAAAGGTAAGGAAGTGACCCTTGTAACAACATCTATTAAATGGTGTGTTTTTTTGTGATATAAAGAAAATGGTAAAAATGTAGGCCGCTGCACACATGGATACAACAGTAGTTTTGAAATGCTTAGAAATCAAACGTAGTCTTTGTAAAAACTTTTTATACATAAACTACATATTTTAAATAGTTTGCTTGAATTGTGGCGGCAGCACATAATCTGCGTAGTTTGTACGAGTTGGTTTAGAAATAATCAAAGTCATATGGTTTAGTCGAATTCGTTAAAAAAGTGAAAAATTTTTGTCGACAACGTTTTCCCGAATTTGATAATCAATGTTTGTTATTTGTTAGTTGATGCAACAGCAATTGCCTTTCTATCCATTTGTTGATATGCTTTTACATTTAGACTTATCTTGAGGTTTTTACGTTCTTAAAAAGATAAAATACTCTGTTCCAGTCTTTATTCTTGTTATTTTGTATCAAGTTGGTTCATGGCAGCAGCTTAGGTTCTATTGTTGGTGCTTGCGACGCCTCGAGTGTCGTTGGAATTCGAGGGCAGCGTCATGAGAGCGACGCAGACGACCGTTAGCATCTCCCCTCGGGGCTGGAGGTGCCATCAAACCCCCACGGAGCGAGTAGATCTCTTCGCAATGGACCTAATTGCACTTGAAATGCCCAGTCGTTTGATGAACAAAGTGGTCAGGATTCCTTTGACGACAAGCGTTTAGACTCACGAGAATTACACGCAGGATTTTCTAGTTATCCCGAGCAAGGCCCGCGGGCCGACGCGCGGTGAATTACCCCGTAGATTTGCTCGTTATGTCAGCCTGCCCACGGCCTCATCCTTATTTCAGGAGATCATTACGACGTTCATGATGGAGGATTCGCACCCTAAATTGGGAGGGGATCCTTCAATGTCTTGAATCAAGACTAACAAAGGGCTATTTTTCCCTCAATAAACCTCGAAATGAACCTATCCCCTCTACGGAACGAGATTAATGCACCTGAACATGGCAGTTGTTGTCGTATCACAAAATTATTGACGAGGACTGATTAAATGTAGAATTTAGGATTTTTCTACTCAGATGATGCCTTCTTGTAGGAATATCATTGCAGGCGTAGTATGAAACATGTATATTCAATGTATGACTATCTTCTCGCGTCTGTCTGTATGGAAATAGTTTTTTCTACTTCATCCAGGATACTTGCAGTAATTCAATACTGTTCACCAAGCAATGAAATCAAAATTCTGTTGGAACTTTGGTCCGTATATTGGAAATTGTCATTAAATTTTACTGGGAATATTGCAGTGAACGCTCCGCGCCGCAGCAAACTTATATAATCTCTTCCAGCGACTTGAAGCCGTAAACTCTCCTATATATTGCTCGTGCGTTGCTTCTGCTTATCCTAGTACACAATGTGCAGTGCATTGACTGTAGTCGTGCGTCATACTGCTAACAATAGTAAAATAGTACAACATGTACTACTGGTATATCGATCAATCCAGAAATAAGTGTTTATCATCACCAGCAACTCGTTATAAAGGCTCGCCCTTAATTAAAAAGACATTTTCTTGCCCCATAGCTCGCCTAAGAGACAAGTCAATGAGAGGTAAGCGTGTAGTTCTGTTTCAGGTTAACCTCATACATGGAGTAGTGTATACGATTTCAACTGTTTCTATATTCTATATGATTTCGATTTTACAATTAGTTAGCTCTATATAGCTCATAAAAGTTTAGAACTTTGTGAAAACATTAAGATCAGGAAGCTTGATAATTTTAATATTTTTGATACAGGATGGATATTATTTTTCTTCGGGACCTTTGCATGAACATGAATATTCATAAATTTTTTTGAAAGTTTATTTCTAGTTTATTGTTTAACATTGAATAATTTATGATATGGTAAAAAAACTAGTATTCTGGTTTAGACTGAAAAAATTCACTGAAATATTACATCATTATTTTATATTATTTCCATAGTTAGCTCTGATCTCATTCTAATTACTTTGCTTTATTTCTCATAATTTTACATTTTGAAACTTAAGTCTGCTAAGCTCCTGAACCTGCTTACCTTACTCAATACTCACGCTCGTCCTTAAGTTATTTCACGCTAACACAAATTCTATAATTTCTTCTCACTCTCTTCACAAAGTGCGCATGGCTTTAATATTGTAAGCACATTACACTATGATTGCCTAATTATAATGTACAATTTCACTGCACTACAGCCCCTTGAAGGCTTAAAGTCACAGCGCTACTGGCACTGGCCTGGTTAGTCTCTTTAATATTTGTAGGTGTCAGAGTATCTATATAGCTCTCTTCAACCTGAGAGCCGCTTGACACTATGACTACGTTCTGCTATTTGTAGAACATTGCCGTTTGTAGCAACACATTTTTTAATTAACTGGAAGGTTGTCATGTAGAATCATTGATCTCATGCCTCGCCAGTAGTGCAAGGCAATATCATGATGAATAACCAACGCACTCGTATAACTCTTGGTGTTGCTCTCGCCAAAGCTCATCATGACGAAAACAAACCAACTTAATACTTAAAGATTATAACGCTGTATTTCACTCTTTCGTTCAGCCGAGCATCGGTGGTGCGTGGTCGCGTTATCAGTGGCCAGGGCTCAGGGTTGCTGGGGGTGCGGGTGTCCATGTTCCGCCCCAACGACACGGGGTTCACCCTCACCCGCCACGGGGGGCGCTTCGACCTCATGGTCAACGGCGGGGGCGCCGTGAAGCTGGTCTTTGGCAAGCCTCCCTTCAGACCATACGTCAAGACCGTGCGAGTGCCGTGGAATGAGGTGCGTTGATATTAGACCCCTGCGGGTGCCGTGGAATGATGTTAGTTATTATTAGACCCCTGCGGGTGCCGTGGAATGAGGTGCGCTGATATTAGAGCCCTGCGAGTGCAGTGGAATGGCGAGCGTTAATATTACCCTGTGCGTGCGTACTGGAATGACGCGAGTTTAACCTCTTCATGTCGCGAATGTGATGCAGGTCGTGGTTATCGACACGATTGTAATGACGACGACCAGTATCGTGCCACCTCCCCCCGCAACGCCGTGCCTGGACCACGACTACGACAAGCTCAAGCCTGTCGTGCTGGCCACCTGGAAACACGGCTTCCAGGGCGGCTGTCCTGAGCGCTCGGCCATCCTCGCTGAGTCTCAGGTCATCCAAGAATCCCTGCCCATCCCTGGCTCGGGGCTACACCTTGTCTACCATTCCTCCAGGTGATTTGCTTTGTGTCATTCCTCTAGGTGTGGGGTTTCAGTCATTCTTCCAGGTGCGGGGCTCTATGCCATTCCTCCAGTCGAGGAGCTCTATGCCATTCCTCTTGTCGCCAATCCGTTCAAACTAATGTGCGATTACTTCATGCTACACTGCAGCATATGTCATCACTTCATATTACACTGCAGCATGTTATGTGACCGCTTCATGTACTCAATATATCGACTACAGTCGGGCACCTTATTATATATAATTGATACCTTCATTTTCTGTTTCGTGCTATGTAAGTTATTCCTCGATACTGAATTTCGAATGCCTCGTTTCACGTAATCATTGTTACTTCAAACAATATGTTAATTACAGAGCATTCGTGCCTTGTATCAACCATTTCTCCGAGACTTGTTGTAATAAAACATTAACAAACAACCCTATTCTCGCCTGATGGTTTTGCCGAAATGATTCGCACTTCACTGAAAACGAACTTTTCAGCGTTAACGATTCTATGCCTGTAATTAAGGAATTGTCAATTCTTTTTCCCAGGTCTATTGGATACGAATCTACGATCCAGCTCCAGCTGACTCCGGACAAGATTCCGGCGACTCTGCGCCTGATTCACTTGCGCATCACCATCGAGGGGATCTTATTCGAGAAGACCTTCGAGGCGGACGCCGACATCAAGTTTACTTATGCCTGGGACAGACTCAATGTTTATCGGTACGGTGAACAGAATTACTTAGAAGTTCACTATTAAAATCATTGATAAGTTAGTTGCTTTTTTTCAAGTCATTATAATTTTTTTGGTATAGCTCAATAATAATGAGCTACGTTTTCTTTCAATACAAGGGAAGGACCAATTTTTTGTCGGGTAAGAGATGATATGTTCTTTAATAAGCTATTTTTATTGAAGGCAGTACATTAATAAAGCTTACGTTTAAAAACTTAAACCTCTGCTATGAAATAAAATTCATTTGCACGTTCCTTCTTTAGAAGCAATTTCAACTAATTTGGTCATATCTACAAGAAGGACAAGTCGTTGATTATAATTTATTTGCCAATAGTTTTTTCACACAGTATCTGCTTGACACTATAAGTGTAAAATATTAAAGCGCATAGAATAGTTATCTCTGCTTTATGCATGCACACTAACCGTAAACTTAATACCCCTCGTGCGCATACTAATGTGTATGATGTTTTCCTCACGTGGGACGACAGACAGCGCGTGTACGGCGTGACGTGGGCGGTGGTGCGCGTGGGCTACGCGTACAGCAACTGTGACCGCGTGATCTGGGAGGCACAGACCACGCAGGTCTCTGGCCACGAGATGAGCATCTCTGACATCGGAGGCTGGGACTTGTCCATCCACCACCGCTACAACTTCCATGAGGGTGAGTACCATTCCCCATACTCCAAATAATGGCAAATGGGACCCAAAAATTTGCAGACAATGACTTGTACCACTCAAAGTCCGTATGCATGAATACTGAATTTGTCATAATTATTCTACTCTCCGAACTCTATAGGCTGTGTGTAGGCACTAAATGTTGCACGTCCTTCGTCCTAATATTTAATGTGTATCAGTTCTCGTAATTACCTATAGGATACCTCCCTCAACTTGATATTCAATGTATATGTGTTCACTTAATCAGCAACTGAATACGTCATTTATCCTGATATTCAAATGCATCGGTCCACATACTAACCTCCAGAACTTCACCCTGCCCCCAGGCATACTGCAGAAGGGCGACGGGCGCAACATTTACCTCAAGCAGCGGCCTCGTGTGTTGCGAACGCTCATGGGCGATGGACGACAGCGGGAAGTTAACTGCAAAAACTGCGACGACGATGCCATTAACCAACGTCTGCTGACGCCAGCAGATCTGACGGCAGCTCCTGACGGATCTCTATACGTGGCTGATTTCAACCTGATCAGGCGCATCCTGCCTGACAACACCGTCCGCACTGTTGTAAAACTTAAGTGAGTACAGGCAACTATTTCATTGATTACTTAGTCTAACATAGCATCAAACTCAACAATAAGACAATATAGTGGCCGATGTTATGTAATGCGTTATGTAATGCTTGGAATAGAAAAATATTAATCGAGTCGTTGGGACGAAATTATCGTCAATAATTACTGTTTCCAATTAATTGCCAAATGCTTTCTTTGTCTCACGTTTTAGCGAGACGCGAGTCTCGTACCGCTACCACTTGGCTGTAAGTCCCACGTCTGGCACGGTTTACATCAGTGACCCTGAAGCCCACCAGATCTTGAAGGTTAAGAATCCCGACGATTTCTCGAACCCAGAGAACAACTACATGCCTTTCGTTGGTTCCGGAAAGCGGTGCCTACCTGGAGATGACATCGGCTGCGGAGATGGAGGTCGCGCAAGAGATGCAAAATTACAATATCCTAAAGGAATGGCTGTGTCCTCAGAGGAGGTCGTATATTTTGCTGATGGTACCAACGTCAGAGCCGTGGACAGCGATGGAATCATCAGTACAGTTATCGGTACACACAGACATCGGTCCCACTGGCAGCCCCTGCCTTGCTCAGGAACCCTGCCAGTTGACGACATCAGTTTAAGGTGGCCAACGTCACTTGCGGTTAACCCTCTGGACGAGTCTCTTTACGTCCTGGACGACCACCACGTTTTAAGGCTTACGCATGATCGAAGGATCAAAGTTGTTGCTGGTAGACCTCTGCACTGTCCACCTCAAGGTCCGGACTCTCCTTCTGATCTTGCCACTCACACCACTCTGCGCTCCCCTCAAAGCTTAGCTTTCGCTTCCAACGGTGATTTATACATTGCGGAGAGCGATACCGAACGGTTGAACCGAGTGAGAGTCATTGTAACTGATGGGCTCATTTCTGACTTTGCTGGTGCAGAATCGAAGTGTAACTGTCGCGAAGATTCCTGTTCATGTTTCGATGACTCGCACGTTCTCGCAGCTAACGCGATATTTTCGACGATCTCCGCTGTTGCTGTCACCCCCGACGGTGTTGTGCATGTCATGGACCAGGGCAACCTCAGAGTCCGCTCGGTCACGTCGTCTCTACCGCAGCCAACACAACAGCGGCTTTATGAGATTTATTCGCCTGAATCTCAGGAAATTTATGTATTCAATCGATTTGGTCACCACATTGAAACTCGAAACATCCCCACCGGTCGTACGCTGTATTCATTCGTGTATAACGTCAACACCAGTAACGGGAAGCTGTCTTCAGTCACCGACGGTGCAGGTAACCGCGTCTCGTTCTTGCGGGACTACACCGGCCAAGTCACAATGGTGGAAAACTCGCGGCAACAGAAATGTCTTCTGAACATGTCACGGATGCGCAGACTCGAGCGGATGGTCACTCCCGACGACCATAACATCACTTTAACGTACCACGGAGCGACAGGCTTGCTTCGATCATCCATGGATTCCGTTGGTCGTGCTCACGTATATTCATATGACAATTATGGTCGCCTCATCCGAGCCGTTACGCCTTCTGGGCAACTCATCGAACTCACCTTCGACCTGAGCATCCGAGGAGCTCGAGTGACGGTCTCTCGTGATGGAGGCTCCCCCATCACTATGCTTATCAACGGGGCTAAAGTGACAGAGACAATTGGTAAGAATTGGCTTGTATTAGATTCATTTTTGATCATTGTATATGTTGATCAAAACATATACATAATGTACATATACATAACATATATGTTATATACATATACATATATACATATTATACAAAACATATACATAACAGAACTTAATTAGCTTACTTTTATGTATATCTACGAAATTTTTCAGAATTATAATGTAAGCCTCTATGGGGAATCGCTGGGAGGGTCTGCATATCGAAACTCACACGGAATATGATATATAGTTGATTTTATCGTTACTCCAGAATATACGATAGAATTCAATTGAATTTACACGGGCGAATTTTGATCCGCTGGATATTGCAGCGATAGTTTTTATTGTTAATCACTATCTCTTTGTATGCCAGGCGATGCATCTAGCGTCACAGCGCTTTTGCCCGACGGTACTGTAGTGACCAAATCCCCTTGGGATCACCACATCGCTACAGAGACCACGCCCTACCCACTCATCGATACCCCCACCATCGCTAACTCGTTCCCAGTGCCCGGACGCCAGCGCACGGAGATCGGGCAGGAGTTGGTCAACAGCTTCGAGTGGCGGTACTTTGTCGAGAGGAGTCGACTGGGCGAGATCGTTAAGGTAAAGCAATCAATATAAGTACCCTTAATCGTAATTGCTCAGATTTGAGTTAGCCATTCAACTGAAATTCTAGGTGAATTTTTCAACAAGATGAATGCATCAAATGAGTTTCTCACAAACTCGTCTCATTGGTTTCGGGTAATTAATTGACTTGTCAGAAAACGGGTAAATAAAACTAAAGCTTCATTCACGGAGTCCTTCCTTAGTTAAAATATACTAAATTTCTTGCCAAAAATGCAGCAACTCTCATTGGTTTTGCTATTGCGTACTCAGGTTGGGCGTCACATGCGCGTCAACGGCGAAGACGTCCTAACGTTCAAGTACGACATGACGTCTGCAACAGAAGCCGTAATGAACCCAATCGACGTACAACTTCTGAACGTCACATATGACTCATTGGGTCGGCCCTTACGATGGACTTTGGCGGGACCGTTCGCATCGATGCAGATCACCTACGATAGGTTCGGTCAGGTGGAACAGCGCGTCTGGGGCCACCACAAGGAATCGTACGCCTACGATAAGGACGGCCGACTCGAGATCATCACTTATGCTGACGGAACCAAGAAGGAGTTTTCTTATCTCGACGATCGAAGAGTCAAGGTTAGCTATTATGGTAGAGTGTTGTTGTCGGTTTCCAAGAGGTAAGAAATAAAAACTAGTTTCGGCAGCTACAATAGCAAGATACTGGAGCCGATGAATATTCAGTTTGTTCCGTCATGTTTCTCAATGAATTTAGCCAAAATCGTATAGAAATTATTTTTTTATTCAAGCACATAAGTCGAAGGACCATTTAATACTGTTGTTTTGACAATTTTTTGCTAATCAGTCGATAATCTAAGTCCAGTCTTTGAATTGTTTAGTAAATCCGACAGCAAGCCATACAATTTTTCGGAAAATATTCTGGAATTGATTGAAAGCATCATAAATATTTATTTAAATATTGGTCTAATATTAAATTGCATGTTGCTCTGTTTTTCGGTTTAAATTTTGTGTTAAATTTTATTTCATAATATAAAGAACAAAGATATAAAAAGAATCAAGACTTCACATTGCTGGAATGACTTCACTTTGGAAACAAAATTAAAATTTTGCGGATTACTTCTATGTCATACTAACGGCAAACAAATGTCGCATATATCTGCTTCATCCAACTATTTTATAGCTAAAAGAATTTCAAATCAAATTTCAGATATTTTAGTCCTTCAAATCAATTTAATCTGTAACCCATCGGTTTGAAAGCTTCACTATTGAAATCGAAGATCTCTCCCCCACAAGAGTTCGAACGTCTCTCATGACGCAATTTTCTCGCTTATTTTCAGCCGTTCAAGATGAGCATTAATGGGGGCAACGCTCATTATATGGAACACGACATCGGCGAAGCTCTATCCTCTATCACGACCCCCAAGGGCCACAAATATCTGTTCCGATTGCAGCCCTCGGTGCTGCACAATCGCTTCGTGTTCTCCCCTCCAATTATGCCTCGCCATTATTACCAACTGCTCTACTCGGATGAGGGTCGCCTGCTGGCCGAGGTTCTGCCTTTGCAAGCGGGTCGAGTTGTCTACAATTACGATGAAGCTGGGCGTCTCCAGTTTCAGATATACGGCGACGGGTCGACGGAGTACGGGTATCAACCTGAGACGGGATTATTAAGGTCTGTAACTGTACGCGAACTCGGTTACGAACAAAGGATTGAGAACAAATACCACGCAGGTCTTGTAAAAGAACAAAGGATTCGATTCGGTCCCGCTGACACCCTCCATTCAGTGAAAGCTCGATATTTGTACGACGGATATGCGCGACCGAGGAGAGTAGAGATGGAAATAGACGGAAGTCAAATCGCAAACTATGAAACTTCGTACGATGTTACTTTAGGTACGCTGGAAACTGTGCAGGAACTAAAATTTACCAAAACATATCATAATAAAACTATGGTCCAAGATTCTCGAAAGACCTATGTTCGAGTTTCCAGTTTTGATGCCTATGGGCGCAAGATTGAATCATCCATCACTGTGCGAGGCCGTCTAGTGCACAGATCGCGCTATAGTTACGACGCCCGCAACCGCGTTACCTCACACTCCATCTGGAGAGGACCAGGCACGTCGGAAACATCAACCAACTACACGTACACCCCGGTGGGTCATCTCGAAACTGTTGAAGGGTCCAAATCTTGGCAGTTTCGCTACGACGAAAATGGCAATATGATTGCCGTGATCGAGAGTGGGCACACTGTGTTGGCAGAGTACGACGAAGCCGATCGGCTCACTAACTGGGAAGGTGCGCCTCTGAACGTTTATGATTCTGCTGGTCGATTGCTTCAACAGAATGACATGCAGTATTCCTTCACTGCCAGAGGCAATGTCCGTCATGTGTGGAGAGAAGGAGTTTTCTTGACAACTCACCGGCACGATCACAAAGGCAGACTTGTTGCCTGGCAGGACAATAAAGGAAACTCTACGCAATTTTTCTACACGAATTTGAAGCAACCGGATCTTCCCACTCACATCCACGATCCGGTTTCTCGCGATACCACACTCATGCTTTACGATGAGCAAGGTCACCTCATCGGTATGCAGACTGAACGTGCTAAGTTTTGGGTCGCTGCAGACAACGTTGGCAGTCCAATCGCCATCTTTGATGCTTCTGGAGTTTTGATGAAAGAAATCAAACGCTCACCTTGGGGGGCGATCATCGAGGATACTCGACCAGACTTATTGCTTCCTGTCGATTTCCAAGGCGGCATTCGAGACCCAATCACCGGCATGATCATTTTTGGGCTTAACATGTACGATCCCTTCCATGGTCAGTGGTTGTCCCCGAGGTTTGACAGAATTGCTGGGGCTTCTCGTGATCCATCGTCGGTCTACCTGCACCGGTTCGCAAATAACGATCCTGTGAACCCAATGCACCTTATTGACGCATCTCCCAAAAGTGAGTACAAATTTTATATATAATACCAATTAATTTAGGAAGTCAGAAAAACTTAGTTGATGTACCATCATTTTTATTAGTATCTTATAAGGAGCTGAGTCTCGCTACTGCATATTTAAATTTAAAAACGTACTGTCTGCTCTTTCCAGATTTGAATAGATGGTTGAAGATGTTTGGAGTGGATCTCGGGTCAATGCTTGGGTCGAAGTACCACGACGAGACCTTAGGTAGGTGCGTGGACGGCCACACGCCCGCCGTCCTTAAGCCCGCCCTCTCGGTCATATCAGGATTGTCTTGCTCTACTAAGGGCATCGTCGAGGAATTCTCACGGCCATCATTAGTTCCTAAGTCCGCCATAAAAACAGACGAGCTTATCACATCGGATTCTTTAACTCCCTTCTCGTCAGCCGGTCCAGTGTTGGGACCAGGAGTTATGGTCTCCAGTCACGCAGGTCGAGCGCTCATAACTCTCGTACCGTCCCGGGAAAATTCTGTGGTGCAGGGAGTCGCGCGTGATGTTCTCAACGGCTCAGCTCTGCTGGAGCTTACTTTGCCTCACCACAGACACCATACTTTGTACCTCGTGAAGGAAGACGTCTCTTCGAGGCCTGATGATCTCCAGCAACTGCAGAGACTTTCGGGTCTTTTCAACGTGTCAGTGCACGAAGGGCAGCATCCAGAGCTGCGCGTGACAGGAGGCGCAGCATCTTTAGTCATACTGTACGGCTCCTCAGCCACTGCGGCTCGCCATCGACTTCTTCGACACGTCCAACGTCGCGCTGCTGAACACGCGTGGGCCGCTGAAGTCGAGAGAGTGAAACGAGGCGGTCCAGTTCTCCATCCTTGGACTGAAGAAGAGAAACAAGAGCTTCTTCGCACCGGCGAGGTCTCAGGGTATGCTGCTTCTGAACTTCATCCAGTGCACAGATTTCCTCTACTGGCTGACGATGCAAGCAATGTTGTTTTCCGACATTCTGGCAGACGAAGAAGACGAGCTAGATCACATCCGACATCGTGATGGCCACCGGCCAACCTAGATTAGATTTGCAAAAACTACATTGAAAGTTCTTACAAATCACTATGCGACTACCGCTATAGTTACGTCTTTCTAAATTTTACATTTTTTATGGTGTTGTTAGTATACGATTCGATGGAGCTTTTGTGAACTAATCTACAATTAGCTGTATATATAGACAAAATCATTATGTACAAACAGGGTATTTCTTAGCGTATCGCCCTCCTGCCGAGGATAAACTGCCGTGTGATAAAATGCTTCAGTTCCATAAGCCTCAAATCCATCACGACCGACTGCCCCATATCCGTATGGGGCAACCACTCACCGGTTATCCACTCATTGCCGTATAGGATGACAACCACTCACCGATAACAAATATCATGTCGCTTTTGTGGATGGAGCAAACGTATTATAAGATCTTTGCTTCAGGTAGAAGATATGTGCTCCTTTCCGTATAAAATCTAGAGTGGAAGTTGGAGTTATCCCTCAAATTGCACACCTGAAAAATGAACGAATTTTAGTCTATACTAAAAAAATGAAAGAGATCAAGAAATTCCTTAAGTTGTGTGGGATAGATTATGATCATAAGTTTATTACAACTTTTTCATGGCTTGATAACGTTGCAGTTAATGTTCAATCAGTTCATTGTAACTTAATGTTACTCATTTACGGTTGAGAACTCGCAAGTTTAGGAGGCGAACAGCATCGCTTTAGTGGCCAAGAAGTTCTCATTGACGAAAATTGAAGAACAGGTCTGAATTGAAGGAAATATGTTACGAAATGAGTGGATGACATTAAGTGTTTAGTCACAAAAGTGGTGAAATATCAACTAATTTTATACTTCAAGTTTGAATATATGAATCGCTCTAGGTGGGAAAATCCCGTGAAAATGAATCTAACCTTCTCTTTATTTGGTTGGGTCAGTCTGTCTCTGAGTACACGAGTATGTTGTCCGATAAGGTTAATGTTGTATGGGGTATTTCTAATAAACGTTTCATTCCTTCGAAATTTTGTATGTGTACACACATTGCTGGTTCATAGCGCTGATACTATAAATTTCAAGGAATGTGCATGTAACCTTTTTTTAACGTTCAATTTAAATATATTCACCAGGTTTCTAACAATTCTTTATTGTGCTGGTCACGTATATTTTTATGAAGTATGGATGGATTTGTTTATTGAATTATGTTTTTGTCTACTCGACTCTTGCAGCTGCAAAATAAGATTAGGGAATTATCAAAAACGCAGCTCCAATTCTTGGGGCTTACAATTCGAATCACTTGACTGAATACGCGAAAATAATTTATGGATTTCGAATTAAGTCTTCATGAGGAATCTGTGCGTGAATTATTTTAGGTGAATTGCACACATAACGCGATTGACAAGATTGGCTATAAATTTATCATGATTTTTCTGTTTATCCGATTTCATTACTAATCCAAAGCCAATCGTTAAAAACAAAATTGAACCGCAAGAAAGCCTGAGTATAAATCATTTAGGAAAATTTACAAATGTAGTTCTTCTGAACTTCATATGTAGTGCTTCTGAACTTTTAAATGTACTTCTTCTACAAATGTTGTTCTTCTAACTTCAAATGTACTTCTCCTGAACTTCAAATGTAATTCTTTTGAACTTCATATGTTGGTCTTCTACATCGTTGATGTAATTCCCAGAACTACATAAAGATCATCTTCAAAATTAGCTCATAGAACTTAAGAACTACTATACAGGCTCTATGGGTCATCGCACATGACATTACACGACATGGCATTGCGATACGAGGCATTTTTTACGAACAATTTCATGCAAGTTGCGGCAGGCGAGCACAGAAGCCGCCTGGTAATTCCTAAGGTCATTCGAGCTGTGGTAGTCGTCAAAGATTATCTAGTAGCGACGAGCGTAGACTATAGCTTCGTGTGTTGTGTGTGCAATATTTGTCGTACGTCGTGACGTGTGTGCGTCGTGACGTGTCGTGCGTCGTGACGTGTGTGCGTCGTGACGTGTCGTGCGTCGTGACGTGGCGCTCTTCACGAACACGGATCTTCAAAGTTCATTGAGTTCATCTGTTCAGTATATGAATACCATTAAGTAGACAATCAGGATATTCCTTCTTTGGTACAGGTACTGTATGTAAAAGATTTATTTTTGATCAGAGTAACGGGGACTTGCGTTAGTTCTAGGTAATAAGGGTTGACGAAGTTACCCGAAGACAATATGACGAGTCGAGTTCCCTTCAGTTTTTTACAAGAATTATCGAAGATAAATGATTTTCTGCAACTTTGTACGGAAAAAAACTTTTTGTATGTAGGCTATGAAATTAAATACGTATTGATATTAAGATGTATGGAAATTAAATAAAAGAATGGGGACATTAATTAAAGTTCAATTAGCTATTCTTCTCTATTATACATGATCAATCATCCAGGTAACGTGTAGAATTAATAGTTTCTTAAGCGACCGCTTCAAACGCCTGGTCGCGAGCGTTACTTCAATGTGAGTAAAGTACCAGTGAGTTAGCGGATATATGTCACCTACCATTGCTATATTCTATGTGGGTAAACATCAGTGAATGAACTGGTGGTCGTCATATACTATTGCTATGCAATCGAGAGCCATATAAATGCACTTTTCCGACAGGAATATCATCTTCGCAAATCATTCGTCTTGGCCACGTGTTCAGTGTTGCTATTTACTGTGCCTCATACACTTTTAAATGTACGGTATTCATACCGTACATTTAAAAGGGTACCGACGTTTTTTGATTAATTTCCATTTTCAATGTAAGAGATTAAATCATACGAAACTTTATATTTGTATATTATACGGAATTTTTGCTCGGATATTTCGACCATATTTTCGAAGCTGCTCTGTCGTTGGCGTGGTGGTGCCGGACTGCTGTTCAGTGTTCGATATTGTATTCAATTGTTGTGGACGAACGAGACTGTAACATTTCGTATTTTTCGATGTGACGAGCATTTATAATTATTTTAATAATTTGATCAATATATGTAGCCTTATATAATACATAAATTTACTTTTCAACGCTTAATCATATCCATACAGCGCTGGAAATGTTGACCGTTTGTACGTGAATTTGGACCTTTCCAAGATATTTTTTATGTGAGTAGAAAAATTGGGCAAATTGTGGGGCAATGGTCCCGCGACGCACAATCACGACAGTAAAACTTGAAGAAAAAATTATTATGGGATTGTTTACTCCTCCTTCGTGGGGAGTTCATTTGGTGCACAGGAAGCAGATACTGGTGGGGAGGACGCTGGACATTTGCGTGAGGATTGAGGGGGATTGCAGGATTGTTTGAGAAGGTTACTTGGCACTAATGAGAGATATACTTTAAGGGTTCTTTACAGATACACGGGTTACTCTACTGCAATCGGTCCGTTACAGGAGACGTGGCATGGAGTTACTTTACAGCGATAGGTCCGTTACAGCAGACGTGGCATGGAGTTATTTTACAGCGATCGGTCCATTATACAAATGTCGCTTGGAAGCAAGAGGCTGTTATTTTGAGCATTGCTGTTTTTATGTACTTAGCGCTTCTTTATATTATTGTTGGATTGCATTACCGTGTATTGTGATGCATTACCGTGTATTGTGATGCGACACGAGAACGTCCTGCCCTATAAAAGTTTACTCGTAAGATAATCTGTATAGCGGAGCGAACAGAAGCCTTCCTATCTGAATAATTGTTAATAAATATGTGAATAGAGACAATTGTTTTCTACTTAACCTTGAGCCGATGCTACAGATACATAACAATTTTAATTGAACATGTCGAATTCAGTAAAACTTCAGCAAATCAGTGGCAACATTCAGCAACTACAGGTGATATCTTAAGGAGAAACAGATATTCAGCCACTAGCGCACTCCTGTATATATTCCGGCTCTCTGATGTATGCAAATCATTTCCAGCCTGAAAAAACAAGAAGCTCTGCTGACTGCGTTTAAAAGAGAAGTTTTGTCAGAAATCGTTGATCGAAATGTTAAGTAGGAGTCCTGAGATGGTGTTGGTCAAACAAAAGCTAGCACAGGTCGTCCATCTTGAAATTTATTTGGAGTTTAAAGCCCAGGCAACATTACTAATATCGAATTATTAAGAATATATTGCCGTGCAAGTTATTAAGTTGCTCGCTTTGATGTATTTTTAACAACTGAAGGATTTTTTTATGTCCTCCGTAGGAAAGTTTTTTAGTTGTATGGCGAAGACGAAAATAAAGCGAAACAACTCCACTAAAATACAATTATTATTAGTGAAAAAAAGTATTGAAATCAAATAATGCAAACGAATCATGTCAGAGAAAGATTCAGTTAACGAAAAATTATGCAATATAAATACATTACATGAAGACGATGCAATTTCACAAGCATAAGAGTTATTTAACTTCACGAACATCAGAGCAATGATGAAACTTCAGGAAACTAAGTTATGGCGATGTAACATAACGAACATAGTGGAGATGTAATGTTCATAATCACACGGACGATGTAACATGCTTAAAGATGAAGGAGATGTTGCTGCACGAATTCAGGAATGTAGTAACTCAGTAAATAGGTCCATAAATTGCATGCAATTCGTTAACAATTCATTCAATTCGTTAGCAATCCGCAAAAAATCACGTTAATATGCATCTCTTTGAGCCGAACAAATTGAGCTCGGCGTGTCTGAACGAATAACAAGTTCTTCGCTAAACCCGACCAGGTTCTTCAGATTGCCAATCTAATTCCTCTCGGAGATTCGCAATTCGAAGAGATTCAATCTGTGAAGCGCAAAGATAGAGTTTCAGAGCTCATTCAGGAAGCTGTTCTTTCGTTTATACGAAGCGGGCTAGCCTGTCCCTCTTTCTTTTAGGCGCCCAGAACTTCAAGGAAGAAGAGATTCAAGAGATTGCTCTGCTAAAGATCCTTCAGAATTCTGCTCACACTCTGCACCAGATCCTGAATTGGCTTGAAGAAATGCTTCTTGAAAAGCCCTGATGGTTTGAACTGGCGTGCTCTCCCAGACGCAGCTTCCCGGCAGTCATTCTCCAGTTCCACTGAAACTATTTGGCAATGACTTCTCTGACTTCTCGAACTGATGGCGGAGGTATTTTTTATTTGCAGGAAATTGGTAAAGTTTCGCCTGAACATGACTGGTAAACTTGATATTTCTGTGAGTTAATTATCGGTAGCCAATTGATTCCTATTAAATGCGTGTCTACGATACTCGCACAGCATGTAAGGTGCATCAAAGTGTGCATGCACAGCATGTTAGGTACAGCGCGTTGGGCATGCACAGCATGTTAGGTACAGCGCGTTGGGCATGCACAGCATGTTAGGTACAGCACGTTGGGCATGCACAGCATGTTAGGAGCATCATCAACTAGACAATATCCAGTGATTTATTAACCTGACGAATTAACATATATGGGCGAGTTTCCTAAGCTATTATTTGAGTCTTTATTAAGTATCTATATGAATATGACATCAAATAAGTGGCCATTAATTTTCTGGCTGTAACAGTAATATTATATCAAACTTCGGCGAATTATTTTTTCGAAAAACTTGCGCAAAAATATAAGACGAAGATTCTCATGTCGATAAGCATTTAATCGTTTTGATTTGAAATTAAAATTTTATCACCGTGAATCACGAAAAATAACTACGATCGATTGGAGAAAAATTGACGCAAATGTTGTAAAACATCAAAAGAGTTATTGGGATCCAGAAAATATCCATTTTGATTTCAATCGCACTTCAGAGCAGATTTTCATCATAAATTTGATATGTAATGTCTACAGGAGTTATATTATCTTGAATTTTTCAAAGTGTTTCGAATGCCTTTGAAGCCGGCGGCTTTTGATGTTGCCTAAATCCGAAAATAACAAGATGTTCAGTCCGGCATCCCTGCTCGGCTGAATGTTAAGCGCAAACAACTGAGGTTTTAACGTTGTGTATGGGGCGGTAAGCTCTAGACGGCAGAGGAATCCGTGTCTCTTATTCTTATATTATA